TACGGGGGATCCAGTGGAGGAGGCTCCTCTGGCGGTGGAAGTGGCGGCATCTCCATCGCAGGCGTAAGCTTCCCAAGTGGAGGCATTGGTGGAGGTGGAGGAGGAGGACATGGTGGATTCAGCAGTGGAGGCAGCGGAGGTGGATTCTCAAGTGGAGGAAGCGGAGGTGGATTCTCAAGTGGAGGAGGTGGAGGCGGAGGAGGATACGGGGGATCCAGTGGAGGAGGCTCCTCTGGCGGTGGAAGTGGCGGCATCTCCATCGCAGGCGTAAGCTTCCCAAGTGGAGGCATTGGTGGAGGTGGAGGAGGACATGGTGGATCCAGCAGTGGAGGCAGCGGAGGTGGATTCTCAAGTGGAGGAAGCGGAGGTGGATTCTCAAGTGGAGGAGGTGGAGGCGGAGGCGGAGGAGGATACGGGGGATCCAGTGGAGGAGGCTCCTCTGGCGGTGGAAGTGGCGGCATCTCCATCGCAGGCGTAAGCTTCCCAAGTGGAGGCATTGGTGGAGGTGGAGGAGGACTTGGTGGATTCAGCAGCGGAGGCAGCGGAGGTGGAGGCTGCTGTGGCGGGAGCGGCGGCCACGGTGGAGGAGGAGGAGGAAGAGGAGGAGGAGGAGGAGGAGGAGGAAGAGGAGGAGGAGGAGGAGGAGGAGGAGGAGGAAGAGGAGGAGGAGGAGGAGGATATGGTGGGAAATAAGCTTTTCCAAGAAATCATTTGTTAAACAAGGAAATACCAGTGTTCTATATGCCCCTGAAAGAATTATGAAAATGTGGAATCTAAGTCAGCTAATCATCGAATAAAGATTCAATTATGAAACAGTATTTGTATTCTTTTATTTCTATAATCCTCTTTACTCTATTTCAGACTATCCCTTGCAGCGGTATATACCATAAAGATTAATGATGAATGATGAAAAGAAAAATATGTCACGCTAGTTGTATCAGTTTTATTATTTTAGCTTATGTTACATTCCTCTGCACGAGAAAATTAGTTTTGCCATGCCCAGTTAGCGTCTTCTTGCCTCCGAGACTACGTTGATTTACATATATCTTTATTTTGGTATTTCTTGGTGGACAAAAACAATAACCGCAAGAGGTAAATGTTTAATATTTTACTGATACAAAATCAGGAAGGGTAAATATGTGAGAAAGGGTTATCAAACTCTTGTGCGAATAGGTCGTTCCGAATTCTTTGCACACTGCTAGGTCGAATTCTTCGTGACAAAATTAGGATTACTTTTTTCGGTGTTGTATTCTCTTTATCAACAGAAAGCATATTTTTAACGGCCTCCTTCTTCTTATCTTGCTATTTTTTTCAGGTTTTATCATTTTCCTTTCCATACAATTGAAATTACAAAACTCCCTAATGCCGCTTTTGTACATATCACACACACACACACACACACGCACACACACATTGAATAAAACATCTCTTCTACACATGTGTCTATTGTGGGGTAGTGGTGAACAGTGTTACCTCCGAATTGCATTAATAGGCATGTTCATGTAGACGTGAAATCTTATGTGGAGGTGCAATTCCTATAATAATATCTTATCTATACTATCTTTCGTGATCGTGCCCTCGGTCGTTGTGTTGACTGTAGCGAGAGCGGTGTTTGGGTGGGTTGTTGGGCAGACCAGATAATTGCACAAAAATACTTCTAAAGCGAGCTGAAAAGCATGGGTTCTGGATGGGTTACAGAAGCTAGCGGTCATATGTTGGGAATAAAAACTATATCATCCAATAATGATAATTGACTGTGATACGTATCCTCGTAAAAAAAGGAACAAAAAATGAGGTAAGTAAACAATATTTTTGTTGACGCTCCAAATTCTGGTTTTCTCTAAATACTCACTCGTACGAGGTTTTCTGTTAGCGGGACGAGAGCAACACAGATAGACTGTGGTAAATACCCTGGAGCTATAAATTTCATGTATACTCAATTATATGACACAAACACACACACATGTATATTTGTATACACATGTGTATATATGTGTGTGTGAATGTGTGTATGTGTATGTGTGTGTGTGTATGTGTGTGTGTGTGTGTGTGTGTGTGTGTGTGTGTGTGTGTGTGTGTGTGTGTGTGTGTGTGTGCGTGTGTGTGTGTGTGTGTGTGTATGTGTGTGTGTATGTGTGTGCGTGTGTGTGTGTGTGTATGCGTATGTGCCGATTACCTGCTCTAATCCTTTACCCACCTACTTAACCACTCTACATTATGAATTGTACAAAGTGCCATTCCGTTGGCTTATAACTGAACCTAACTCGCCCTCTTAAAATCCTCTCGAAGTTGGATATCTCGTCCTCAGTAATGCTGTAATTTATGTTTCTTTAAGTTTAAAGTCCGGTTAATACGTAACATGTAACTAACGGGTTGTAGTCCATTCTGTTGCATATAATGGCACTGCACTGCAGACACCTTGCCTCGAATGAGTTTGCGTAGTTATACATCGAATTTCATTCTAAGTCCGGCTCACGGCCGTCAACGAAGGGGAATCTGCGTCCCGTTGTTCCGATAGATTAAAAACATGTAGCTAACTGATGGAGTCCATTCTGTTGCAAAATATGGTATTGCACTACAGATACCATGTTTTATATAGGCTTACATAAGTTTATTTCAAGCGTGGCTCACCGTCGCATACGCAGGAATCTTGCGATACACCGCACAGAGAAGTTACGCACATATTGCTCAAACGATAGCTACGATTGAAGCTCCGAGACACGCACAGTAAAAGCGAAGTTCAGGCCCCGCTGCCTCAATGTGTCCGGAGCATAAGTACTTTCCTGTTTAGACCGAAGATAAGGAATTCTTGCTTATTATTTTTTCTTTGTATATGATGTTACTCTACCGAAATTATTAACACCTCTCCATGTGACCTGTTACCCTTCCTATGACGCTTTCATTTTCTGGCATATTAGTAAGGTGATTGACAAATATATTACTACCGGCCTTGTACATTTATATTTCGGCCTCTGAAGACGATATGAACTTCCTTGCCAAGATGAACCTCCCTGCTACTGAATGTTGCATGTGTCGTGGCTGCTACAGATGTCAGCTATTATCAAAATTACCCCTTTGTTCAATAAATCGATGACATGCAATCTTTACACTTCTGTATTCACCTTATACTGATATCAAGGAAGATAAAACATATTCTCCCAGAAGCAGAGGGATATTGCGATGTAAGCTTGCTTAAACTGCATCCGCTTAAAACACGCAGTGGTTTTGTAGGCAATAGCATTTTTTTTATATCAGTTGCTTCAGTCAGATAAAATAATTCCCTATTGAGACAGTTGCTAGGGCGCAGATATAATAATCATTGTTCAAATAGATGAGTTCACATAAAAACTCAAATGAAAATATTGCTATGGAAATTGCAACAAACAATACTGATCATTTTGATATGAACTGTCGCACAGACAAACTAAAAAGGTTGAAAGTCCAATCAAAATGTAATTAAGATGTATGTATATTCAGCTGAGATTTGAGGTGGCTGCTCTTTCGGAAATGAGAAGACCTGGTAGCGGCACGACCAGTGTAGGTGGCTACTGATCAGGCCGCAGCGGTGGTCACCATCTCCAGGGGAAAGCCATCACCAGCAGACTTCAGCCCTCGGTAGTGAAGATACTCCAGTCGATGAGCGCATAATAGCATTGAGGCTGAAGCTTGCATTCGGATCCATGTCTGTTATTCTGTAAGTTCCTACTGATGTTTGTAAACTAGACTTGAAGAAGGTTTATTATGCAACACTAGGCGGTTTTAATGTGGTTTCCGGCTATGATCGAGCTGGCTTTAAGATGTCTGGTTGGTCCTCATGGTTCGAAAACTGATGCCTCTTTTTCTGGGACTTTGCAAGGTTTTTGTCTCTTGGTACCAGCAAAATGACCCGCATCACTGGCTATAGTACAGCGATGCGGGCAATGTGGCCGAGGAGATCGACCACATCCTTGTTAGCACTCGCTGGAGGGTCCTCCAGAACTCCAGGGTCTACAGGAATGTCTAATTTTGTGATACTGACCATAGATTGGTTGTGGCTACCCTCCGAATCCGCTTAAAAAAGAAAAAGAAAAAAAAAAACGTCAGTTCAATGGACGCCCTAGGATGTTTCATGATGAGGGAGGAGGAGCATACCCAAGGATTTGCTGAGGCTGTCTTTAGTTGTTTTGTAGCACTCAACAGCCTGATGGACCCAGTAGAGCTGTGGGATACTTTCAAGTGCAAAATCCTTGACACAGCTCAGGAAAGCAAGACAGAATTTCATTTTGCAGGAGACACTAACAGCCACAGATGCCTGTCACGTGGCTCAACTGACAAGGGATTGGGACTTGCATCATTCCTTGGTGCACAGGACCCGGTCGTTGTTGAGAAGGGACAAGGAACAGTTTATCAGGAATCTTGCAGATGAGGTTGAAGGCCATTTATTAGTAAATGACCTTCGTCCTGTCAACCAAGCCCTGAGAAAGCTGAACACCATTCCTTCCTCACAGATGACAGCAATCCACACAGTAAATGACCAGAACATCTCAGATCATGTTGGGGTGTGGAAATGTTGGGCTGAGTAGTCTGAACAGTTGTTCAAGGTTGATCCACCAGCCTGGGTTCGAGTTATGCTGAGATCCCTGTGAGCCTATTACCCTGGCTGCCAAGTGGCATTCTGGTACCATTCCCTCTGACCTGTTGAGGGGTGTGGTCATCCCTCCCAGGAAATGGAAAGAAGATCGATAGAACAGCAGTAATCACCGAAGCTTTATAGCACTCAGTACACCAGGTAAGGTTCTCCTTCACATCCTTGTATCAGAGATCACCAACTGAGGCACCAGAAACCGAAGCAATCTGGGTTCATTTCTGGGAAGTCCACAATAAACTGTATGTTGGCACTTTGAGTCATTTTAGAGCGCAGTTGTTATTTCTGTCCTGGGCTACTTGCAGCTTATATCAACCTCGAAAAGGTGTTTGATGAAGTTCATCGTAAATCACTTAGGGAAGTCCTGAGAATTCCAACAAGGATTATTGGATTAATAACAAGCCTGTATACTGGTGCTGAAAGTGCTGTAATGTGTGCTGGGGGCCTTTAGAGCTTCTCTGTTAGTTCAGGAGTGGGAGAGCTACTCTTCAAAGTCATTGTGGAACAACACTGGGCATTGTTAAGGTTACAGACTTTAACTTTGCTGACAATGTTGATATTCTGAATCTCTAAAAATCCTAATAGTGGCTCTAGAAGCATTTAGCTATGAAGCAAAGCTTTTGGGTTTAGAGGTCTGGACCAAGATCGAGGATCTGTTCAGTCGGTAAATGCGTGTGACGAAAATATTAAAGTCACAAAGAGCCTTACATACCTTAGTAGTTCGTGGCGATTATGCCGTGGAACTGGCACAGTACTTGCACAATCCATATAGACAACTCAGGCTATACAGGCATGTGGCTCGGTTCCCACAGGAAGATCCTGCCCATCTGGTTGTCTCTCTTCGAGACAGCCATGGGTGGACCTTGGAAGTCGTGAATTGGGCAGATCGGTCAGACTTGTCATGAGAAGCTAGAGATGGGCTATGAGAGACCCTCGTAGGTGAAAACAAAGAGGTATGCGCCCCAGTCGTTGTTAGCTCCCCAATGATACTCATTCATAGATCTACAGGAAATAATCCTCATCGACTTGTAGGAGATGGATATGCATCTACCACCTGAACTACTTTAAATCTCTTTCGGGAGAGTTTGTAGTGGGTGTGAGTTTCCACTGTATGGCTGGGCAGTCCTGAGTAGCTGCTGCTATCTGGTCTGCTGGAGGGCCAGTGATTACTGATCTCGGTTCCTGATTCTGTGGCTTAAGTAAACAAGAGCTGTGGAAGCGAACAGGTAACAGGTGTCCAGAAAATTAAGTATTATTGAATTTAAAGTTAAATTTGAGTGTGTATATATGTGTAAACATATTAACACACAATACAAATGAATAAATTATATATATATATATATATATATATATATATATATATATATATATATATATATATATTTATATATCTGTGTGTGTGCATATATACATTCATATATCTATATCTATATATATATTTATATCCATCTATCTATCTATCTATCTATATATGTATCTATCTATATATATGTATATGTGTGTGTGTCTACACACACACACACACACACACACACACACACACACATATATATATACATATATATATATATATATATATATATATATATATATATATATATATACATATATATATATATATATATATATATATATATATATATATATATATATATATATATGTATATACAATATACATACACACATTCACATAGTTATACGATACGCGGAAGCATGCGTACACACATGCAAATACACAGGGAATTAGACGGGCGAGTTTTCCCTTACTTGCAGTGTCTGTCTATTTGGAATATAATAATAAAAGCTGAGATTTCACAAATGTATTTGACCTTTATCATGAAACAAAATTCCTATTATAAAGTAGTTAACAAAAAGTGCAAAGCGCATAAAAACTTATATACATTATACATATAAACATGTTCGGGCGTCCAGGCCAGCCTCGAGAGGAATCACCGGGTCTCGGCCATCTGGTGCTGCCGCCGAAGGTTCTGGAACATGATGTCCACCATCGCCTCCAAGTCGTAGTCGTGGCGCCAGCCCCAGTCGTTCCGCGCCTCGCTGTCGTCGAACACCTCCGGCCACGTGTCCGCTGTCGGTCAGAGTCGCATTACGTAAATGCTGATTTCTCTAATGGTCAGATTGTTTGTGAAATAAATACTTATATGTCTTGTCATTTTGCGTAGTTATTTATTTATTTATCTAATTATTTATTTATTTACTTTTTATAAAATGTGAAGGGGAGGTAATATGACAACTAACACATTATCAGATATACCTTAATATAACTTAATATAACCATTCGTTTATCTATATAAACTGGATGATTATCACTTACAGTGCAAAGATCACTGCCAAGGGCATGGCACGTACCTATGTTCTGACGTGAATCCGGTCTGTAGGTGACAGGCAAGTCAGGGAAGTGGCGCCGCACGGCCTCCACGATCTCCTCCGGCGTGAAGCTCATGGCCGTTACGTTGTACGTCCTCCTCTTCAGAAGATCCTCGGGCGCGATCAGCATCTCCCAGAGCGACCTGCGGGGGAAAGGCGCTATGATGGCCTGCGGTGCTATGCCGAGCAGTGTTGCGGCAGTGCTCAAAGGGGGTCTGGGTTAGGTACCTTTCGATATGCCGTTCTTTGAACAGTTGTTATTGTGGTGGTGAGGTTTTGTTGACATTACGGAGATGGAATAACTGCACTGTGTAATTTAAACTTAGGTTGGAGTACAGTTTTTTTTTCTCGACAGAAAAAGGCGAAAAAAAAGAAACAGGGTGGCTTGCAGTTTTACACGGCCTTTTGTATTTACGTCTTATTAGAGAATGGGGAGGCACTTCGTCACTTTGAAGAAAAACAATACTTTCTGTTATAAATGCTGTCAACCAAGCCCTTCACAATTAGATTGCTGCCTTAAGAGAAATAAAACATCTTCAATACGATACTTGCTTCACTGGGAGAGCAATGCAATTATCGAAACAAGAAGAGGCGACCCAGTCTCACCTGAGACAGTCGTCGATGTACATCATGGGGAGTCGGGTGTTCGGCCGAAGGTAGCACTCGTGCTCCCGCCCTTCGATGGCGTCGTGGAAGATCTGAACCGCGTAATCTGGGAAGAGGATTGCCTCGTCACAGCCTGGTTACGTTACCAAGGGCTTTTTAACGTTTCGGTCTTTGAACAATCTGCTCTTTTACTTATCTAGCTTTAGTTTATTGCATTCTAGCCCGGCTATAAATATTGGCCCTTTATGCAGAGTACAAGCAGACGGAAGATTTCCCTTTCCATTTTTACTATAATTCTGGTAATTGATACGATGCACCACCTGACCCCAAACGCATATCGAAAGCCAAAGCCTGGCGGTTACCTGTCGTGCCACCCCCAGGCTGGCTGTCGGAAGAAATGACGCCAGGAAAGCGCAAGCATCTGAAATCCAACCCGAACTTGTTGTGATAATATTCGCCCAGCAACTCGCCGTGCACCTGTGGCGGCACAGGAAGAAGGTGGTTATTGTTCGGCCAAATGTAATTTATAAATCATTAGTTTCCAGACTAACACTTGGATGGCATCAGGCCTACATGAATTAGCCTTATTAGACATATGTCATGCTTTTCAGCTCTTTGACAACAAAATGAGTCAATTTATATCATGCTCATAATAAGCAATCACAAAAACGTTCACATGAAAAGAACATGCATGCAAATATGTATACATACATACATACATACATGCATACATCCTTCCATCTTTCCATCCATCCATCCATCATATATAAATACTTTCATATATAAATATATATGCATACCTTGGACACGCCGTAGATGGTCCTTGGCCGCTGGATGGTGAGGTTGGGCGTCGGATTCCGGGGGGAGTCGGGCCCGAAGGCGCCGATGGTCGACGGGACGAACACCCTCAGGTTGTACTGCTTGCTCAGCTCCATCACGTTGTGCAGGCCCTCGATGTTAACCCTTTTGAGGAAGGAAGGAAGCTTTTTACTCCCACGGGAAGCGAAGGAAGCATGACTTTACGCGGAGATTTATGGCCCTAGCTCTCGTAACAGTGGAGCCCAGTGTGGGAGGCGCTTGGGGCTCAAGGCGCATGCCGTTAATGCACATAGAAAATGAGCAGCTGAGGGCGTGACTGAGGATATGGTTGTCGAGAAAAGAAATGAAGCAGGACCCGGCGCCGCGCCCGTCCTTACCTAATGGCCAAAGGAACGTTCTGCTCCCCGATGGCCGAGAGGAGCGCAGAGAAGTGCACCAGCCAGTCTATCCTGTATGTCACCACGATCTCCTGCAGGCACTTAAAGTCCAATATGTCGGCGAACACGTAGGGACCTGCAGAGCAAAGGGGCTTATGACACATCTGTTAACATTGGCAAACCAAACCAAATCTAAGTCTAAACACAAGGGATACTCGAGAGAGAAAAGCCGCAAACCTGATTGGACGACTTCCTTGGACGGCTTAACGATGTCCGACATGATGACGTTCTCCACGCCATACTTGCCCCGCAGGAGCTTTGCCAGACCGGTGCCCAGCTGCCCCAAACTGCCTGCGGGCGGGACCAGATAAAGCAACAGGTTACAAAACCAACTCTTACATGTCGTTAATTCGTTACGTCTTGGTTGATTTTTAAGGTCAAGGTTAAATGGTCTATTCGCTAGAGGATAAAGCGAATTACAACGGTTGTTAACAGATCACCCACCAAAACAATTCCTTTTCACCTGTGATGAGAATCCTGGGCGGTTCCTCCTCGTAATTGGTTGGCGTGCTGAGGGGGCGTGTCCTAAGGAGAGGTGAAACGCGGGATGGCCCGCCCACGCCTCTCAGCAGCCGCGTCAACATCCCTGACCTGGAAGTGAGCACTGCGTTTTCATAACGTACGAGAGATCAAGCAGCTATGAATTATATCAGAAACAAATATTTGTCCTAAAATGTGTGTGTACATATGTACACACATACACACACACCTTACAACAGGCCCAGAATATGAAAAGAACCACAAAACGTTTCCACCGGCCAAGATTGCAGACAGCTCGAAGCCGAAGGAAATCTTCGATATACAATGAGTTTATTAGATCGGAGCCAAATTTCTATGGAAGATGTCAGGCCATTGCGCATATTGACCCATCTCGTAGCTCCTCTGATCAGGGCCTCACGCCATAATAGATAGATTTCAATGAGGAGCATCAGGATGGAGCAAATTTTCTTCGGTATAGCAAAATGTTTACCGTGTTTTCAGTGAATGAGAAAATGAATATGATTTTCCCTTGTCTTGTCTGGATTTAGCGGTTACTTGAAGTAATGATGATTTATGATGGCTGAATTAGTCTATCCTAAAGTACAGTTCCAAGCAAAATTACCGATTTATCCTGTTGCGCTTTGGATTTAATAGATTGGTCAAATTCGATCTACTATCGATACACACACACACACACACTCACACAAACGCACACATATATATACACTTTTACACACATTCACATTCACACACACACACACAAAAATGTACATATGTACATATAAATACATACATATGTACATCATATCATATTACTTATACATAAACACTCACACATTCATGTATATCTATCTATCTATCTAATTCTCTTCTAGTGTTCTATCCTTCGACAGGTCCTTTTTGGGATCCATTTTTTTCATGACCCTCCATTCTCTGTTAATTCACTTGACATGCCCAGTCTTCTCCACGGGACTGACGGCCATTTCCTGAGATGTCTGCCATAAATACAAGGGAAAGATCAGTCAGGGTTGCTTTCACGTTGTTTTCCCTAACAGTGTATTTTTTGAGATGGGACCCTGACAAGTACTCCACTCTGGGTCGAAGGGGACCTGGGAGCAATAGTGGCTGAGAGGTGGCCTCATACTCTTCAGGACCAGAACCCCACTTCAAGATGCATTATACTCATACCCGGGAGTAACACTAACACACACACACACACACACACACACACACACACACACACACACACACACACACACACACACACACACACACACACACTCTGTCTTTCACTTTAGATCCTTCCCTGCAGGACGCAGGTCTCATTCAGTCTTTTCTACTTATTCCAGGCTTGCGCTCTCAGTGTCCGATTCTTGCCACCGATTTTTAAAATTCAGCGCGCCATCTTGTTGTTGGACCTTTGGCCTCCTTGCATTAGTAATTTCCCAGCCTTCTAAATTTCTCCCCAGTGATTTGCTCGTGGCTCATGTTTCTGGCCATCTCTCTGTGGTACTGGAGAACGCAACCAGGCTTCCACTGGGGGGGGGGGGGGCAGAGGACGGAAAACTGCCTTACTCTCAGCTATTGCTGTTAGGTTGATACCAAAAGTTAAGAGTTTTCGATCCCTTCAGGACTACAATTTTGAGACAAGGGCTCGGACCTGGTTCGATACCCAGAATGCTACCCCGGCTACCCCTTCTCCTCCTCAAGGAGGGGCGACTCATGACCACTCTTCGACTATGAACAACGGTACCCCCACTAATGACAAAACGAGACGACCACTTTTTAAAATCCCCACTCAGAATACGAGGTTCGCGAATGTAAAATGCGTGAATGAAAATCAATCGCTTTTGAACGTGAACCCCTTCATCATCAAAAAGGTACAAAAAGTGGACGGCGATTTTGATTTTGTCAAAAAATGTGAGATGGAAGCCTCCTTGTTAAAGTACAATATAGCTCCCAGCTTAAGGATTTACTTAAGCTGACGCATATCTATGATCTTTGAGTTAGAGTAACTATTTCTATTGGCCCAAATAGCTGTAAGGGAGTAATCTCTCACAGGGATTTGATGACGATGGAAGAAAGTGAAATTCTCGAGAGCATGAAAGACCAAGACATAGTGAACATTGAATGTATGACCAAGAAGGACGGGAATGTGCGAACGAAAACTGGACCTTTGCTTTAAATAAAATCCCTGAGTATGTCAATGTCAATTATGAACGCGTTCAAGTAAGACCTTATGTCAATGCATTGTAATAGATGCCAAAAATTCGGACACACCTCATTAAGATGTACTAGCCAGATTTACAAATGTGCTAACTGTGGAGGTCCCCATCAGTCAGGATCTGCTAAGTGCAGTATCCTGAAGAAGGAGACTGAGACATTAGCATATATGAGAAAGCATGAAGTTAGTTATACTGAAGCTAAGAGGAAAGTGGAAAGTTTGACACAAACCCGATACTTCCAATGCTGCAGCAGTAACTAACATCACCCCTAGTGCAAGTAATGTCAGTCAACAGCTTGCAGCTGAGGATAAAGAAATTGCTGAACTCAAACAAACCGTTAAAGAATTAAATATTAAAGTATATCAACTGACAAAATTGGTCAACCAAATGGCTGCATTAACCCAGCATAAACACCATAAGGAGGATACCGAATCACAGTCCGGAGCGCACCTCCCCGTCCGGGCTACTCCTGTGAGGACTTCGCCTGGCTCGCGATCGGTCTCTCTCGAGAGAAGCAGATCGCAATCTGTCAGTCATCTCCCTCGCCAGGAGGTGAAGGACATGGAGGCTTCTGTCTCCAAATGAGAGAGGTCCACTGGAAGCGAGGGAGAGGTGCCTCCCTCCCATAGGAAGAAAATTAAAATTGGTGGACAAGGCACTTCCAAACCCCATAACACGTAATCTTCGCGTCAACCATTATACAATAGAACCGTCTTAGATCTAAAGTAAATGACTTTAGATTATTAGCCTCGTCCTATGCTCCCGATATTATAGTACTCCAAGAAACGCATTTAACACACCTCGTCTCTGACGAGGTCGTTTCGCTGAGGAACTACCATTTATGTCGGAGGGACCGTGAGGGTAGGGGCGGAGGGAGAGTCGCCATGCACATCCACCAAAGCCTCCCTTTTACAGAAGTGAATATTGATTCTACTTTGGAGTTTGTCGCATGCAAAGTAAAAATTAATGGCATGTATCTGGCTATATGCTCAGTTTATTGTCCACCTGATAAAGTGATAATCTATAATGAGCTCCTTGCTCTTCAGGAACGTCTGCCACAAAATAAAGTAATTCTAGGTGATTTTAATGCTCATCATACGTTATGAGGTTCTCTGCGGGTGGATGGTAGAGATAAGCAAGTAGTTAAGCTGATTGATTTAGTCCTGAACGATGATAGTCCGACGCGGGTGGACGATAATACCGGTAATTTGAACTTTATTGATATATCACTGGTCTCTTCATCATTGACGATTAGTTGATTGAATATTCATGCGACACAGTGAGAACGCCTTCAGCGCCTAAATTTAACGTAAAAAAAGCAGACTGGGTCGCCTTCACAAGGAGCGTCAAGCTCGAACTTGTTGGAGAAACCATTGATGATACAGTAAACAACATTCAGAATTCGATTATACAAGCAACATTGGTATCCATTCCTAAAACTTCGACAGATAGCGTTAAGCATAGAGTTCCATGGTGGACACCAGATTGCCGCAGGGCGCTGTGCCGACGCAATAAGGCCTACAGCCTTTTCAAAAATAACATCACTAATGAGAACTTTTGCAACTACAAACAAGCAAGAGCTAGGGCTAGAAAGGGTAATAAGACAAGCAAAAAGAGACTCCTGGCGGAGCTTTGTCTCTACAATTAATAGCAATACAAAAATATCAGAGGTTTGGTCCACTGTCAATAAAATCAATAAGAAAAAAAATCTTTCAAAGTTAACATCATTGAAGAGGGCACTAATATCGATTCACCTAGAGATATTGCTAATGCACTTGCCAGGCGGTTCTCTCATACAAGCAGCTCAGCAAATTACCATCCCGCCTTCCTGCCCATCAAGGAAGTGGCTGAGCTGCAACCAGTTCACTTTTCCACAGGAGATGACTTTGATTACAATAAAGATCTTACAATGAATGAGCTTGTCCGAGCCCTAGAAGCCTGTAGAAGCACATCCCCAGGTCCGATGAGATTCGATATGAGATGATAAAGCATCTTAATCATGATGCCATGATTAAGTTGATAGAAGTGTACAATGAAATTTGGAAAAGCCACACTTTTCCATACTCATGGCACTTCGCCCACATCATTCCCATATTGAAAGGAGGGGGTAATCCCAGATTTGCCATCTCCTACAGCCCAATTGCGTTGTCAAGTTGCTTATGCAAGGTCATGGAACGAATTTTTTTTTATAAGTTCAGTAATTTGCTAGTTGACGAGCAGTGCGGTTTCCGACGCCAAACTCTCGATCAACTAGTAAAGCTGGACAGTCATATTCAAGAGGCAATTGCCAAAAAAGATTATCTGATTTCAGTATTTTTAGATATAGAAAAATCCTACGACATGACATGGTGATATGCCCTACTCAGAAAACTTCATGCTTTTGGATTACATTTTATTCAAAACTTCAATTCTGACAGAATGTTTGCTGTCAAATTGTTTTCTGACAATTTCACTTTTTCAGATATTTTAGTCCAGGCAAACGGGGTCACACAAGGAAGTGTCTTGTCACCAACAGGATATCTGTGTATGATAAAGGACATCTTACCAGCTCCTCCTCGTAATCTTAAATACTCACTGTATGCTGATGATTGTGCATTATGGCACTCCAGCAATAATGCAGAATTCTCAGCAAATCGCATCCAATTGGCACTAAATACAATTCCTAACTGGGGTTTTAGTGGGGTTTTAAGTTTTCCATTAGAAAGAGTATTGGGGTATTTTTTTCATATAGAAGGAAGCCGAACATCAGGCTAACTCTAGACCACCACTCAGTACCTATTCAAAATTCTGCTAAATTTCTAGGTTTACTTTTTGATAGATAGACTGTCTTTGCTAATGATATATAAAGCCCTGGTTAGGTCTAAAGTATATTATGGGTCAATCATGTAT